GACTGCAAGTGTGGGTTTAACTGGTTGGGATTCATGCCTATGAGATGGGATCTGTTTTGTCAACTTTGTTGCCAGAAACAAAGCTTTACACTGTACTGTAGTCTATTAAGTGTGCAATAGTATCATATCTGAAAAATAATCTTACATACCTTAATTAAAAATACTTGACTGCTAAAAATGCTAATTGTCACCCAAGCCTTCAGAAAGTAGCCATCTTGTTTGCTGGTGGGGGGGTGAGTCTTGCACAATGTTGATAAAGACGCAAAACTGTGAAGCACAATAGAGTGAAATGCAATAAAACAAGGCATGCCGGTATTGGCATATGTCCCTTCAAATGCATTAATCGAACCATTGTATAAAAACCCACAAAATTCCTTTGTTCTTGTGGGGGGAGAAAGGGTAAAGAGAGGTCAAAAGAGAAACAGCAGATGAAACATTTTGTAACTTTAGATAGGAGAATCTCATTATGAAAAACCTTTGATGGAAATGTAACCATTGCATGCATAGGCATGTGTGATTCACCAGTGTCTGGTGTCTGATGTAGAACACTATGGAAAAAATCCTGGGGTGCAGGGAATGAGAAGGGGAACCAACTTTTAAATAACATTGCTTGAGGTACAGAACTAACAACTGCCCATAGACCAATTGGTTGAACTATATTTTCACAGCGTGGACCCATCAAATCTGAAATAAATAGATGCTTAACAAATCGCTGCTTTGCCTGGAGGGTCCTTCTCCTGAATGTGGCGGGTTTTATCATAATAACACTTAAGTTTTACATGTTGTATTTTGACTTTTAACTCAATAAATATTTTCTATGGATAACTTCAACCTATGACTTCCACTTTAAGTAATTTCTATTAATGTTATATGTTGCCTGGTTGGGGCATTAGGTCAAGATTTCTCTTATTTATTTTAAAATTAGAGCAGGCTTTCGCTGCCTTGGGGAACATGAGTTGACTGAGGGCCATGTTATTATGTGATGCTGTAGAGTAGTCTAAGATGAAAATCAGAAGTGTTCAATGATTTATCTTTGTAGTTCCAGCATGCTAAAATCATTTTTTCTCTTATTTGCATTGACATGCCAACTATTGATGACATAGTCACCTTCAAGATTTTCCTGTTCTTCAAGCCTGCTGGGCTAGTTCAGCACCATTTCACAGAAATGTTATATAAGTCTGTAAAGGCTGGAAAACTGACAAAAATGAGAACCTGTGATGGGGAGTGGGGTGAGGAGTGCTGGCACCTGAAAGGACAAGAGTAGAGACCAGCTGAAGCTCTTGGAAAAGCAAAGAGGGGCGTGACTACTACTTGGGTTTTGACATCTGCAAGGGCCACAAAGATACTGAGTTGCCAAGGCTTGGATTTAGAAAAGACACACGTGGTGGAGTGAGAAAGAAAGGAAGAGGAAGGATGAAGCTGCATATGGCAATTATTTGTCATTCCTTCCCCTGGCCATATGCTGATATTGTTTTGCTTCTTTTTATTTTCATTTGGCATGCCAATCAGCAGTGTATAGACAGGGAGCTTTGAAAAACTTCGGCAAAATGCTTAAAATGTTAATTCATTTAATAGTAATTATAATGCCCAGGAATGGTATGTAAAATCCACGAATAAGTGGACCCCCCTCTGCAGTTCAAACCTACATTGGGTCCAAGCATTTGCATATTTGTGGACCCTCGCCATTCGAACCTGTGTTGTTCAAGGGTCAACTGTATTCTTTGGTTGCTGTTCCCTTGTGCCCTCCCATGGACCATCTATGTCTTCTTTTGCTCCCATGTTTTCAACATTTTCTTCCTCACTGGATCCTTTCTATCAGTGTCTTATTTTCATTTTTTAAAAAGATTTTATCTATTTATTTTTAGAGAGAGGGGAAGGGAGAGAGATAGAGAGGGAGAGAAACATCATTGCGTGGTTGCCTTTTGTGCACCCCCAACTGGGGACCTGGCCTGCAACCCAGGATTGTGCCCTGACTGGGAATCAAACCAGCAACCCTTTGGTTCACAGGTCGGCTCTCAATCCACTGAACTACTCCAGCCACAGATGTTTTCATTTTTAAAAAGATACTTTTTAGTGTTTTAGATTTGCAGCAAAATTGAGAGGAATATACAGGCATTTCTCATATACCCTGTGACCCCACACATGCAGTATCCACCATTGTCAATCTCACTTAACAGAACAGTACATTTGTTTACCAAAGATGGACCTGCATCAGTATCTCATAATCACCCAAAGTCCATAGTTTACCTTAGGGTTCACTGTTGGCATTGTATGTTATATGAGTTTGGAAAAAGTGTAATGACGCATATCCATCATTATAATATCATGCAGAGTATTTTTACTACCTTAAAATTCCTCTGTGCTCTGCCTATTCATCTTCTCCGCACCCTCACCCATGGGAACCACTAATCTTTTTATTGTCTTCATAGTTTTGCCTTTCCCAGAATGTCATATATGTGGAATCATATCATATGTAGCCTCTTCAGATGGGTTTCTTTTACTTAGTAATTTGTACTTATGGTTCCCTCATATTTTCTTAGGATGTGACAGCTCATTTGCTTTTGGTACTGAGTAATATTCCGTTATATGGATGAACCACAGTTTATTTTCCCATTTAATAACCTACTTAAGGGCATCTTGGTTGTTTCCAGCATTCAGAAATTATAAATAAAGCTGCTATAAACATCCATGTGCAGGTTTTTATGTGGACATAAGTTTTCAACTCCTTTGGGTAAATACTAAGGAGTACAATTGCTGGATCATATGGTAAGAGTATGTATAGTTTTGTAAGGAGTTGTCAAACTGTTTTCTAAAGTGTCTGTGCCATTTGTACTCTCATGACTGAGCGTTCCAGTTGCTTTACATGCTCGTCAGCATTTGGTGTTGGTCAGTGTTGTGGATTTTGGCCCTTCTAATGGGTGTGTTCTGGTAGCTCCTTGTTTTGCTTTGCATTTTCCTGATGACATGTGATGTTGAGCATCTTTCCATAGGCTATTTCTCTTCTGTATGTCTTCAGTGAGGTGTCTTTGGCCCATTTTAAAATCAGGTTGTTTGTTTTCTGATTGTTGAGTTTTCAAATTCCTCAGATGGTCAACGACCAGAACAGAAGCAACAGTAGCATTGTACAGCAGCAATAACACATGCACACTGAATCCCTCTCAAATCAATGCACCCACGCCTTTCCATCCTGATGGCCCCTCCCTGGTTCAGGAAGATACACCTCTTTATGTGAAGGTAGCAGACAGGATGATGTGTGTCGCTGCATGAGGAGGTCACAATGACACAGGGGTGCTGGTGACTGCACAGGCAAAAGATCTAGTCCCCGGAGATTTCCTTGTCGTTTTAACACCCTTCTTGTGTCGTTTTTCTGTTTGAAATGTTTACTTCTGTGTCTCTCTGTTGGTTCCCGTCCACTTCCCTAGCATTTTTGTCTGATTTGTTAGGGATGCCTGTGTTGCTCCTAGGAGCTCTGAGCTCATGACTATCATTTAGCACTGTGGTGGGGCCCTGGCTCTGACCCTCCCTAGCTGTAAGAGCTGGAACACGTGGATTCTCTTGACTTTTATTTCTTTATCTGTAAAATAAATGGCTTCCCCTGGAACAGTGGGTCTCTAGCCTGTCTGTACAATCACCCAAGAGCTTTTAGAACTCTGGACGCCCAGGCTGCACTCAGACCAGTGCCATTAGCACCCTGATGCTCAGGCCTCAGATTGGTTAAAGCTATCCCCAAAGACCCCAGTGTGCAGACAAGATCGAGAACCAGTGACTTAATATTATTTTAAAAGGTCTTTGCTCTTCTGTCATTTCATGTTTTTATCATGTCCCAATCCGAAGTTCAGATTTTCTCTTCTTTTAATGTTTTGATGAAGTTGGGAAGAAATAGCTGTGAGGTTCCCCCCATCCTTTCCATCTGCTGTTTGTTCTTATTTACATACGATGGAACCCAGCCCACTGATTTACAGCTCTGGTTCCTTACAACTGTTATTGAACTGAAAACATAGCTGAAAACTTATTAAACAGAAAAAAATTATTTTGAGCTTTGTACTGACAATTTATTCTAGAACCAAGACAACATCTGAACTTTTTTCCTTTTAGAATGAATTCTAAAAATGGATTTGCCACCCCATAATATCAAATGAAAATTGTTATTCTGGTGCTAAACCCACTATTTACTCTTTCTTGAGTCTTCTATTAATAAAACTGAAGCATCTCTTTGGGAGACTGGAATTTCGAGAGTTTTGCATCCAGAAATAGGCAGGGCCTTACCAGACTCTTCCATGTGGGCCTCTGAAGTTAAGTGTTCGTGTCTACCCGTGACCGCAAGTCCCCTCTACTGATGTACAAATGAATGCTGGAAGAAAACCATGAACACGGGTGTGGTCTCACTGTTGAAATACTTGGGACAGGTCTTTCAAAAGATAGCCTTTCTGTAGCGCCCCCTTTAGACCAACCATTGGAGATTCGAAATAGCATAAGGCTTTTCTGAGCTGCAAGGGAGTGGAGAGGAGAGTAGGGAGACCACAGAGAACAGCCAAGCATTTGGTGTAACCACTGGCACTGACTTTGGAAAGAACTGGGGGTCCCGACAATTGTGATTTATATCGGAGGTGTGTATTTCCAGGTGCTAGTTCTCCTTGCTTGTTTCTTTGTTAACAGTGTCTCTTTCAACTGGTCACTCGCTTTATTCTGCAATCCCTGTCTGAAATATGCAGCCCATGCCTTTGCTTCTGTCTCCCAGACACTTATTAAGCTATTAAAATTAGTTGCACCTTGATAAGAATGGGCTAATAGTTGTTCTGATGGAAAAAAATGGTTCTTTTCTCGCAGCGGGGGAGCTTTTTCCTAGGAAAAGTCATGTTTCCAGAGCGTGGAGTCAGGCGGAAAGGAGCCTCTTTCCTAGCGTGTTTAGCACTGAACTATTTCTCGTGGCCTAGAAAACCTGTCTGAAGCTTCTTGGTTTTTGACCTGCCTCTTTGGGTATTTTTTGTTTGGTTTTGTAGATGGAAGAATTGATTGAGGGTGTTCGCTGGGCCTTCATTGACATGCTGGAGAAAGAAAATGAGTGGATGGATGCAGGGACCAAAAGGAAAGCTAAAGAAAAGGTAAGGATTCTTTTTTATTAAAAAAAACCACACAAACCCAAATACCGACTTTTGGTTTAATAGATTTTCATGTGCAACATGGTGTACTTGATTTTTATATTGAGTGAGCTGCTGACTGAATGACCCCAAAGTGAGGTGTCTGTTTTGGATGAATACATACATTTCATCACCAGCAGGTGAGAGAAAATACCATGACTTTTTCTTTTTCGAACTGTGTTTTCAAACACCTTGTAATTCAGCCTTTCCTTTTCTCCTAATTGCCGTCTGTAAGAGACACATGGCTTGCTGCCCAGTGAATTTTTGCCATAAACCATCATTGGCTGTGGCAGAATGCAGAGCAGTGGGGAGCCTTGGGGAGCAGCTGGCAGAAGAGCCCTCAAGGCACAGAGGAGACAAACCCATATTGGCCTTGTGTCCTTCTGTTCTGTGTATAATGTGTGCAAATGCCCTTAGGCAAACCCTTCCCTGTAACCTAGCAGATTTACTCTCTAACCCATCATTTTGCACAAGTGATCCAACTAGCATGCACGTGAACTGCAGACCAGTGTTAGACAATTGTGTAGGAATAGAAAAATATTTCCTAATAGAAGTGGACACTTGCAAGGCCTTATAAAATTTTCTAGTACGATGCACAAGATAAGGGAATGAATGAGAAAAGTATTAGAAGCCATGCTGTTGAGATGAAGAATGGGACCTATCCTGAATTCTAGGTATTCTGATGGAACCAGAGTTCGAGTGCGTACAGAACACCTGCTACATTCTTAACACATGTTGCTGTGCAGCGGGGGGACTCTGAAATTAGGAGCATCTCTCCTTTAGAGATGTGTTTTCGAGACTTTCCTGGTGATAGCAATCACCTGGGGTGTCTGGACGCTCTATAGTTTTTTGGGCCCCTCTCCAACCAGGTCTGATATAGTGAATTGAGGGTGCGGTTTAAGCATTTGTGATAGCCAGTCTCCCTGGTGATTATTGTCATGAGGCAGGCCCAGGAAATACTGCTTAGAGTCAGACTGAGTCATGCTGAGCACAAATATTGTTGCCTTATGCTCAAGAAACAGAGAGGGGGAGAGGTTTTAGGGTGGTAAAACTACTCCGTATGATACTGTAATGGTGGATACATGTCATCATACATGTGTTTAACCCCCTAGAATGTACAACATCCTATGAATCCTAATGTAACCTCTGGACTCTGGGTGATGATGATGTGTCATTGTAGGTTCATCAATTGTAAGAAATGCATCACTCTCATGCAGATGTTAATGGGGGAGGCTATGCAGGTGTGGGGGGTAGAGGGTACATGGGAAATCTCTGAACTTTGTGTTCAATTTTGCTGTGAGCCTAAGTCTGCTTTAAAAAGGTGAAGTCCATTAAAAAGGGCAACATTCTGGGAACACTTAGCCTTGTTCAAATGAGAACATGCAGAGGTTTAGTAAGGACATTTTCATGAGCTTTAACACTCCTGAGATGGATAAACATTGCCATGGGTATTTTTTGTCAATAGACAGGAAAAGGCTGTTCGCTATTTACAGTGAAGAAAGAATTGGACGACAGGGGTTAGGGGCTGTTAGAGGAAGACAAAGGGCAAGTTTGATTTTTTCCATCTTCAGAATCTGTCAGAGTTGTCTTAAGTCATGTAAGGTGCAAGCTGATAAAGGCAGGAACACACAGGCTGTGATGAGAAGCTTTCCAGATGGTGGATGAAAGTTTCAGCACCAACATACTGTTCCTTTTTTTTTTGAAGGCTTCATTTATTTGTTGGGCTAGCTTGTGATATCTGGGACAGGATGTGTTTTCCACCGGGTAGTTGACAGCTCAGTGCATGGGGGGGGGGGTCTTGATCCTACCCTGACCCCTCGTAGACAGTGTGGAGGATGGGGTGGAGTGGCGAGGGGTGTGTGGCTGTTATGAATGGATGGATACTGGGGGAATGTTTTGGGGACTGCAGTCAGTTCTTTTGGAAATGTGGAGGGTGATTGTCTTTGGGAGATCTCCTGAGTTGCATAAGGGAGTAGAGGCCTTACAATGAGGCTTTCTAGGCAAGTGGCCAATGGGTTCTTGAAGGGTTATTCTCAGTCTTAATATTAGACATGTTCCTGTTTGCCCACCACCTCGAGTTGCTCTCCAATCTTACATTTTATTTCCATGAGGGCCCCCAGTGTTTCTTCTAAAAGTACAGTAAGTCCCCACTTAACATCAATAGGTTCTACAACTTTGAGCAAAACGGTCTTTAATGAGATCAGTTTTTACCATAGGCTAATTGATATAAACAAGATTTAAATTCCTATGGCATCTCATGAACATTATAACAAAACAATGTTGAATGAAATAATGTTTTTTGAGGACGTGCTGTATTCTTTGAACACTTCAGGTTGTCTTTTAGTTGGGTTCAACCTGCCAGAAGTGAAGATAAAAAGCTATTGTCTTACTGGATCTTATCCTGTTCCTGAGTATATCCTGTATTTCAGAGTTCAGAGCAGTTCCTTTAGTGAAAGACAAGAGTGAGGGACTGTTGTCCAAGAATTTCCAGCAGTTCTGTAAGGCAAGTCAGGCCATGAAGATTTTCTTTTTCCAAATTAAACAAACATGCAGTTCTGGAAATGACCTCTGGGTGGAGCTCGTAGTACTCACAAAGACAACACGGAGAGCTGAAGGCTTTTATGCAGTTTGCTGCTCAGGGGTTGTTTTTGAAAAATTGTTTTTTTTTCTTGCCCTTTTTCTCCACTGTCTTCGATTTGATTGCCTTTTAATAGTCAACAAGAGAGGAGAGACTCTGCCTAATAATTCCTTGAATCTTAGAAGGAAGTCTCTGATGATCTTAGGGCTTTGTCTTTCTGATGCTGAGTAGCCCCTGCATTAAGACAGGATTCGCCTACATTCGAAGTGGAGGTGAATAATTCGCCTGCTTTCTGGTATGACTTGGCACTGTTCTTTGGGCATGTGTTATATGCAGTATATCACCCAGGCAGAAGATTTCTCATCAATAATAGTGCCCACACAGGCCAATGCTGAGTCACTTGGCAACCCATTGGGAAAGCTGGAAAAAGTGTTCTGATTTGCAAGGGAGAGAAGCTTTTCTTTCCCTTAATGTTCAGCTCTGGACTGCAGCTAATTACAGTGCCTCCTAAGGGGTGTTGACCTCAGCATTCCCTACTGACTGGCCTGAATCGGAAGGGTCCAGATACCTGCAGTGGGTTGAGGCTTAACACCCCGGCTTTTGTGGCAGTGACCCAGGTCTCAAAAAGGAAGCATGGGGACATGGCTTTGCCATGCTCTTTTCCTGGGTGTGATCACTGTAAAAGATAAACAAGGATGCCTCTGTTCCTGTGAAGGATAAATCTGTTATCTCTGCCTCTCTGCCTTTTGCTCTCATCTCTTAAGAGGTCATGAGTGGTTTTGTGTTGTGAAACCAACGGTGTAGGTTTCAACTGGAAATTGAGTGTGGTGAAAGAAGCACCGGTTTTTACTTAGGATTCTCTGTTTTCTGCCAGTATGTGCTGTTGAGGTAAACAAGCACCCAAGGACAGGAGGCCTGTTATTTTTCTGGTGATCATAGAGATGTTGAGTGAGTATGGGTGACACAGATTATTTGGAGGGTATCTTCTGAAAGATTCACCTTTTCCAGAACAGAGCAGGAGGATGTCAAAGTCACTACATAATGATTCTGAGGCTTGACAGGAAGGGACACAGCACTGCCTTCCACTGTACTGGCAGTGGAAGCAGAGCTGCTGCTGCCAAGCTCCGTGTCATATCAAGAGAAGCAGCTTCCTAAACTCAGTTGGTCGCCAGCTGGATTTGATTCTCAAAGCCAAAAGCCGGATCATTTCAGAAAAATTGTTTGTACTCTTTGCCACTGGGACCTATGCCTGCCTGGCCACCCTCAGACAAAAAGACCCTGATAGAATTCCTGGGGTGGCTGTATCCTCAGGATGCTGTGAGAGGTCTTAACCTTGGCCACAGCAGGTGTGAGGGTTCCTGGTACATGGTCTCATCTCCACAGGCATGTGACTCCTGGGTACAGGATTTGGGTGAGATGGGAAGGATTTTCCTATAGAAGGTCCAAACGAAAATATGTCTTACTTCTTTGGCTTTGTTTATGTTTCAGAGGAAAAATGATTTTTCCTTCTACCCTTCTAAGTTTCTGACTGGGGCTCATGTGACAAAGGGCAGGTTAGCAAGAGAAAAACAAACAGAGGTTTATTAATGTATATCTCATACATACATGAGAGAAACTCACAGAAATGAGTAACTCAAAGAGGTGGCTTAGAACTCGGGCTTACATGGTATCTTCCACAAACAACAATAAATTTGCAGAGAAATGACAAGACAAAGGAAAGTGGTTTTAAATGTCCAATTGTGGCAGTTGTAGGAAGGTAAATATATTGGAAACTAATGGTAGCTTAAGGCTAGTTAGTGAAATTTGTTATACAGATTCTCCTGTGTCTATCTCTAGGTTATTAGCGTCTAAAGTTGTCTCCAGTGATTCACTTTTGTCCCTTCTGGTAGAGAGGGGAGGAGGGACAACTTTGAAAGTTTATGTCCAGACTCTAGGCACATTGGAGGAGGGCGAGAGCCTTTCTTGCATCCGCTGCTTCTCGGTTGCCTTCAGCACAAAATAATTTTTATGTTAAGGAGATATTTTGGGGTGCCATTCTGGTTTCCTTTAGCTTTAAGCTCTGCTCAACCCTAGGTTTTAGGTTTACCCAAGTATCCAGTCTGTACCAACTGTGTCGGTGCCCTGCCCACATCTTGAGCCCAGTGGTTTTCAAGGTGTGTGTCTAGACCAGCAGCAGCAACCGCACCTGGGAACTTGTTAGAAGTGCAAATTCTCAGGTCTCTCCCCAGACCTACTGAGCTATGGGCATGGGGTCCTGTGATCTGTATTTTAACAAGTCTTCTGGGTGATTCCAATGCACACTAGGTTTGAGGCCTCCTGCCCTGGTCATTACCATCACTGCACACTTGTCTGACTTCCAGCTGCCAGCACCTGCATTTTGCCCAAG